GGGCAGTGAGTGATCAACAACAGTCACAGATCCTGAGGGCAGTGAGTGATCAACAACAGTCACAGATGCTGAGGGCAGTGAGTGATCAACAGTCACAGATGCTGAGGGCAGTGAGTGAACAACAACAGTCACAGATGCTGAGGGCAGTGAGTGAATTCGAGAGATGCAGCCGCACCTGGAACTGAGATGTGCCAGTCACAAGACCAAAAACAAAGGGCTATAAACTTTATTAGAATAGATAATTGGAGAAGGCCCAGAGACAGGAATCTGCCTAGGGGCTTTAGGTGGGACTTTTTATAGACTCCTAGCCACCCTCCATGGTACCCTCCCTTGAATAGCCTCCCCCCCCAAGCCATTTTGTAACAGTTGCAATCCCCTGGGGCTTGAGGGTGGGAGAGACTTCACCTGTGTTTAGTAAGCTCTCTTTCACTGAACACACCACTAGTCCGAGGCCCAAAGTTTAAAACCCACACTATCTGTCATTCTGATGGCATTTATTCTTTCCCTGTGCTGAGGAATTAACCTGGGGTTTTGCACATGCCAGGCTAGTTAGTGCTCTACAATGGAGCCACACCTCCAATACGAAGCCGCATTCTTCATTACCCGGTGGTAGTGATATCTTTTTGGTGTGTGTGTGTGTGTGTGTGTGTGTGTGTGTGTGTGTGTGTGTGTGTGATTAGTAGGACATGTGTGCTGCAGAGCGTGTGCGAGTCAGAAGATAACTCGTGGAATCCCTTCCTTCCACCTGGGCATCTGACTCAGGTTGTCAGGCTCGGTGGCAAGCGTCTTGACCCACAGCGCCATCTCCCCACCTCCCGTGACTTGTGGAGTGTTTGTTTATTCATCCGTGTGTCTTGTCTGACTGTCTGATCCATGACTTCCGGGCCCATTTACCTTCATAGGCAGAGTCCTTAGCATGGTGTCTGGCATGCGAGGGACTATATAGTCTTTAAGAATAAGCACCAGGGGCTGGAGAGATGGCTCAGAGGTTAAGAGCGCCGACTGCGCTTCCAGAGGTCCTGAGTTCAATTCCCAGCAACCACATGGTGGCTCACAACCCTCTGTAATCAGATCTGGCACCCTCTTCTGTATACATGATAAATAAATAAATCTTTAAAGAAAAAAAAAAAAAAGAATAAGCGCCAAAGAATGCGGGTCCTTGGCACTCCTGATGCTATCCACACAAAACCTGTTCTTCCCGTATTCTGGGGTCCAAGTGGGACCCCTGGGGGAGTTTAGACAAATGGAGCCATTTTGGTTCAAATGCTCTAGGCCGATGTTGACATTTCCCTTCATAGCTTTTTTTTCCCCCCAAGATGCTTTGAAATATTTTATGTTTAATGATGTGTGTAGGTATATGGATATGAGCGCATAAGTGCAGGTGTGCACAGAGGCCAGAGGTGTTGGGTTTCCTGCAGTTGGAGTTGCCGGCAGGTGAGAGAGCGGTGAGCACTCCCATGTTCTGAGTCATCACTGCAGCCTGTCCGTCCCAGGATCCTGAGCACGATTATAACTCAGCCACAGAGCACTTGCCTAGGACAAGGACCTCAGCTCAGTGCTTAGTTTGGGAACAAAAAGATGAAATATAATTAATATGACGATATCAAATCTTAATTTTTTCTTTTTACCCCCCAAAAACCACTTTATTTAAAGGACAGCCTCTTTCGGTCACTAAAGAATTGTTCATAGTAAAGAAGACATTAGCACACCTGGAAGCTCACAATCCAGGAAGCAGGCGTATGGCCAGAACCTGGGGGCCAGCCTGGGCTACCCATGGGGAAAACTAGCTCAATGTATAGATATGTTTGTATACTTATTTTATATACCACAGAAACTGAATCAATTAGATTGGGGAAAGAAAACTCCTTGAGGAATTCCTAATTCCTGTCCAAATCTCACTCAGCAGCTGGAATCCCAGCATTCAGGGGGCAAAAAAGCAGGCTGTTCACAGAAAAATTCGGGCTATCCTTGATGACAGCGTTAGAGCCAGAGTTCAAAAAGCGCGCTGATGTAGGTGCGGTGGCGGCTGGTGCTTAGTGCCCGTAATCCCTACCTACAGTCGGGAAGGGGCGGGGGAGAGTGCCTGGAGCTTCGGGACAGCCCCTCCCTTATAAAAGGCAAAACAAATAAAACCTCAGCCAGGGCACAATCAAGTTGGCAGGTGAGCAAACCCTAAAGCTCGAGTGCGCTGTTAAGGAACACCCACCCTAGGACACTGGAGCACCGGTTCCCCCACCCCCGCAGATTCAGAAATGTCCCGGCCCTTGTCTGCAAGGGCCCCGCTTCCTTGCTCCACAGTTTTCATGGCCAGGGGTGAGAGGGCTTGTGCGGAGTCAGGATGTAACTCCCAGTCTCTGAGCCCTCCAGGGTGTTTCCAGATCCCCCCAGGGGATGGACCTGAGTCTGGAGCATCCTCTGGGCCTCCCGCTCTGCAGTGGGAGCTGGAGCTTCGGCTGAGCCTGGAGCTTCAGCTGCTGCGGTTGCAGCTTCAACGGCTGTCACCGCTGTCGGTTGACCTGGGTAGGCTGCAGCCGCTGGGGCTTGGCTATCCAGCAGGTCCTCTTGGGGACTACAACCAGTCACAGGCCCGAGCACCGAGGGAAGAAGCTCCCAGGCTGGGGTTGAATTTGGGAATGGAGCCCACACAGGCTGTACCTGGATACTTGGACTCTCCATCGGCAGAGGCAACAGCAGTAAAGCCACCATGGGAATGGGTTGATCCAACAACCACTTTAGAGTTTCCACTTATTTCTGGCAGTCCTTCTGGAATATTCTGGGGGGAGGGGGTGTCTCCTGATTGTACTTAGCCCGCTGATTCTTGAATAAGATCTGGATCTCATACTCCATCAAATGGATCCTTCGCGCCAGCTCCACCCGCTGCTCCAGGCTCAGATACAAGCACTGATCAAAACACTCCTGAGCTTTTGTTCCTTGTACAGGTGTGTCCTTTCGCTGCTTCTCTGGAGCGCTGGGGTGAACTTGCTGGCCACTGGGTTTATCTAAGGGCACCAGAGGGCCTAGGGAACCTTGGCAACCAGAACTCACTGAGGAACGTGAGGGCACCTGGAGATGGGTACACGGGGCGCATTTCCGGTGTTGGGAGACCTGGGCACATCAGGGCACCTGGATGGATTCCGGGACTTGTTTTCATTGATGGTCCTGACAAGTGGGGACCTAGGTAGCTTTCAGAATCTGGCTGCCGTGGAAGACTTAATTGCTCTAGGAGACTTGGAGACTTTGGGAGACATAGTTTCTGTGCAGGGTCTTGAGGCATTTGTAAACCTGTTAACATGTTGGCGTGTGAGGTGTTTGGAAATTTGGATGCAGCGGGAGAGGGTTGGGGGATTCGGGGGCCTAAGTTTCTTGGATTGGCCGGATCTGCTGGGAGACCTCCAGGCATTGGTGGACTCAGAAGTATATTGGGGTGTGACCCTACTGGAGTATCTTCCTGAACCGGAGAACCAGGAAACCAGTAGGTTGTTGCACCTTGCCCGGACCCCCCCATCTGTTTCTCAAATATTAAATTTATGGGGCCTTTCTGGGTATTCAAAGTATGGACTGGTTGACCTTGCTAGGGCATGTACTCCAAAATGCCCACAGGATAGACCAAAGACAGAAAGCAGTTTCTCTAGGGCATTTCAAGAAAAACCTGAGAAACAAAACAAAACAAAAACCCGTGCCAGGAAGCCTGGGCCGGGCTGAGGCGGGTAGCTGTTTACTGGCCAGGTGGATCAAGCCATCTGCACCAGAGACTTCAGGGCAGGATGGGTTTTCAGAGCAGGTATACTGTGCCAGTCTGTAAACGAGACAGAAAGCAGCCTGTTGTTTCCCATTTCAGCCTCAGGCGGGGTACCCCACCCTGCAGTGGGAGTGGAAGGCCTCTCCTGCAGCTCTGGTACGCCTCTTGCCTACTGTCCCTACGGCAGTGGGAGGATCCAGCTCCCCCTGAGAGAGCCGCGGTTTGTTGTCTGCTAATTCAAGAAATAAGGCCGAGGCTGCCCGGCTTTGGCTGCCCTCCATGTTCCCCAAGGTGCCTTGTTTTTGGCCTTTGCTTCCTTACCTATCAAAATCCTTTGCTTGCTAAAATAAACCTTGATTGCTTGTTCCTTTTAAGAAACTTTTATTTTTAAATAAAAGTAAGGGCTGGAGAGATGGCTCAGTGGAGAGAGCATTGGCTGCTCTTTCAGAGGACCTGAGTTCAATTCCCAGCACCCACATGGTGGCTCACAGCCATCTGTAATGGGATCTGATTGCCCTCTTCTGGCCTGCAGGGACACATGCAGACAGAGCACTCATACCTAAAACAATATATGTCTATATATACACATATAAAAAAAAAAAAAAAAGCAAGCCAGGCATGTAGTGCATGCCTTTAATCCCAGCACTTGGGAGGCAGAGGCAGGGGGATCTCTATGAGTTTGAGGCTAAAGAACAAGTGTTCTGTAAACATCAGTGAATTCCAATCCATTCAGGCTACACAGTGAGACCCTATCTGAATGAATGAATGAATGAATGAATGGCTGTCCCTTCCCACCTTCCAGAGTTGAGGCTGGGTTTGTTCACCTGAGTTCTGATTCAGAACTATTTCCTTTTTCTTCCTTTTTTGTCTTTCCTCTCAGATGCTTGGCAGAGTCTGTCCTGGGCCTTTTAAACTCTAATACGATTTTCTTCAAGCTTCAAAGACAAAATAAGGGTAGCCAGATGCCTCAGTGGGTGGGAGTGCTCGCTGCACAGACCTGAAGCTCTGAGACCAGCCCCCGGAACCCACGGTAAGGTGGGGGGAGAGAACCTGTTCCATAAAGCTGTCCTCCGCTTGAAAGCCTTGGAACGTGTGCCCCTCAGCAACAACCCATTAGTTAATTAATAATAAGTAACAAGTAACAGGCAGCATTTACTTGGCAATCTGAAATAGGTTCCAATGTGCAGGTATGTGAAAAAAAAAAGAAAAGAAAGCAAGAAGCAAAAGTCCAACTAAGGCTTCTTTTATGTTCTCTTTGCTTTTGGGGCTGTGAGGGTTCAAAAACGGAGGCAATCGAGGACTTTCCGCCTACATCCAGGGGAAAGGATGTCACATCTGCCAAGGTCGAGGGTTGAAGTGATGTTCAAGGTTCCCCTGCGGCAGGTGCTCACACCCTGGTGGTCACATCCGAGAAGGGGGACGCGGAAGCAGTTTCTTCCCCCTGGTTTGTGAAAGAAGGAGCTGAAATAAACCAGTCTTGTTTGGACTGCCTTTAAAACCCAAGAAAACCTCAGAGCCAAACAAACAAAACTCAGCCAAGGTGCAGGCAGATGTATTATTTCCTACCAACAGAGGAAGAAGAAAAATAATATTTGTTTGTTTTGGGGTTAAATTCTGTTTTGTTTTCACTTTTGAGACAGGATCTCACCATGACTTTTGTGGAACTTGCTGTGTAGACCGGGCTGGCCTCCAACTTGGAGAGATTGGCCTGCTTCTGCCTCTGGAGTGCTGGGATCGAAGGTGTGTACCACCAGGGATATGTCTTTGTAAGTGCATATTAGAGACAAGCTGACTGTCTCCGGGAGGACACCAGAGGACCAGCAGGCTGGAAACCGTCAAGTGACATGCTGGAGAACGAGGGGTCAGGGGACCAGACGTGCTTTTCTTTTCTTCTTCTTCCTCTTTCTTTGTTTCTTAGTTTGTTTGTTTGTTTCTTTCTTTCTTTCTCTTCCTTCCTTCCTTCTTTCTCTCTCTCTCTCTTTCCCTTCCTTCCTTCCTCCCTCCCTCTCTCCCCCCCCCCTCTTTCATTTTTTTCTGAAACAAAGTCTTGCTATGTTATCTAGCTTGATCTTGAACTTCTGGGTTCAAGCAGTTCTGTTTCAGCCTACAGAGTATCTGGGACTGGAGGGTGGGTCCCCTCCCTCTTTCCATTATATTTTTGCATTTTGATTTTTTTAAACCTGAAATCTGTTGCATCCTACTCTAATACGTTTTTTTTTTTTTTTTTTTTTTTTTTTTTTTTTTTTAAGATGATTTATGAGCTGGGCCTGGTAGTGCAGGTAGTACAAGTTTGAAGGGGGCCTGGGCTATAAAATGGGTTCAGGGCCAGTCTGAGTAATTTAGGGAGACCCTGTCTCAAGTGGAAGACAGAGGACCAGAGGGATGGCTCAGCCGGTAAAGGCGCTTGCCACCCAACTTGACGACCTGAGTCCAATCCCTGGAACCCACACACTGGAAGGAAAGAACCAACTCCTGAGTTTCATTCTCCTACCTCCACACGGGCACTGTGGCATGTGCGTGCATGCATGCATGCGTGCGTGCGTGCGTGCGTGCATATGTGTGTGTGTGGGGGCGGAGTAGAGAATGACAGAGGAATGCCTAACGATGATTGTTGTTGGTTGTTTTTGCTCTTTTCTAGGGGGGCCCACCACCCAGCTCCCAAATAAATCACACATGGAGCCTTATTCTTAATTATGAATGCCTGGCCTTAGCTTGGCTTGTTTCTTGCCGTCTGTCTTTTACCTCTGGGCTTTTCCTTTTCTATTCCTGTATACCTTCCTTTGTTTCTTACTCCGTGGCTTGCTGTGTAGCTGTGTAGCTGAGTGACTGACCCCTGATACTCTTCCTTCTCTGGCTCCTAGATCTCTCCTCCCACATTTCTCCCTCTATTTATTCTCTCTGCCTGCCAGCCCCACCTATCCTTTCTCCTGCCTTGCTATTGGCTGTTCAGCTCTTTATTAGCCCATCAGGTGTTTTAGACAGGCACAGAACACAGCTTCACAGAGTTAAACAGATGCCACAGAAACAGAAGTAACACAGCTTAAAACAATATTCTACAACAAATGATCTCTGACCTTCACACGAATGAGCACACAGACTGGGGAGAGCTAAGACAAAAGGCAACTGTTTGTTTTGGAGACTACAGGCAGTCTCTTTTTGTCTGTTTTGAGGGGTGTCTCACACTGTAGCACAGGCTGCTCTGTAACTTACAGCAATCCTCCTGTCCCAGCATAGTGAGTGCTGGGATTATAGGTGCCAACCACCATGCCTGGCTTTAGATATCATCACTGATCTCCTAATTAAACCTACATAGCAAGCATAAAAACAACATTTTCCAAATTCTTCTCTATGTTTGATTTCCTAATGGTATACAAATTAACTGTTTTTAAAAAATATTTTTATGTGTATAAGTTTTATACACCTGGATGGTCGGTCTGCTCATCACATGTGTGCAGTGCTCACAGCAGCCAGAAAAGGGTGCCAGATCCCCTGGAACTGGAGTTAAAGATGATTGTGAGCTGCCATGTGGGTGCTCAGAACTGAACTCTGGGACTTTTGGAAAAGCAGCCACTGCTTTTAAGTGCTGAGCCATCTCTCCAGCCCCCTGAAAACGGACTCATGGTAGTTTGAATAAAAATGGCCACTTTAGTCTCAAAGAGTGGCACCATTAGGAGGTGTGGCCTTGTTGGAGTAGGTGTGTCACTGGGAGGGGGAGGGCTTTGAGGTCTCAGATACTCAAGTGACACCCAGTGTGGCTCTCTCTCTTCCCGCTGCCTTCAGATCAGGATCTAGAACTCTCAGCTCCTTCTCCAGCACCATGTATTCCTGCATGCCGCCATGTTTCCCATCACGACGACAACGGACTAAACCTCTGAACCATAAGCCAGGCCCAATTAAATGTTTTCTTTTGTAAGAGTTGCCATGGTCATGGTGTCTCTTCACAGCAATAGAAACCCTAATTAA